CAACTAGTCGTCACCACCTACCGCCAACTCTTGGGCTACTCTTTACCAACGATAGTGGGATTGACCGTCACATTATAATGCCCATACGGCTGAAAGGGCGAGCATGTTTGGTGTGACGGGGATTCGAACCCGCGACCCTCAGATTGCGAGTCAAGCGCCCTAACCACCTGGTTAGTACAAAATGCTAGTACAAAACACTTTAAATTCTTGAGAGGAACGTGAAAAAAACATATGCAGTAAAATGTATTTTTAATTTCTTTCGTTAAAAAAAAACATTTTTGTTAAAGCGTTTCAGTAAAATAACTTAACTAAGGATGGGTTTTGATACATATATATTAAACGGACGCGATTTTTAAGCAAGTTCAAGCACTAGCTTAAAACACGTTTTTTTTTCATATAAAATATCAAATTTATCATTGAAAATAACGGAAAAGTGATAAATTATCGTAGAACCACTCTTTATAAAATATTAATTCATACAGATATGCATTATGCAGTGGTAGATTGTAACTTTAGATAAGCAAAAGATAAATGAAGTAATAAATTTTTCGTACAAGACACTCATTAAATATTACAGTTATATGAAAAATACCAGTAAAAAATACCAGTAAAAAAACCAGTAAAAAATACCAGTAAAAACAAATAAAAAACCAGTAAAAATACTTCGTCTTCAGAACTTTGAAGTAAAAACAGATACATAATACTTTCCATACTGAACGAGCACCACGGTGCCATGACCCTAGATATGTTAATGTTATCCGATTCCATTAAAAAGAAGAAAAAAAAAGATGCACATTTTTGTTTGTTTCTTAGACTTTTCACGCAAAGCTACACAAGGGCTATATACCATAGCTGTCCCTAATTTTGAACTTATAGGCTACAGGGACTGCAGCTAGTCAACAGCACCCATCGCCAATCTTAGGCTATTTTTGTCTGACCGAATAGTGTGGGATTTGGACATCTCTCTTATAGCTAACCTAGATTCAACTGAAATAACCTACACACAGCATAAAATGAATATGTATGACAACAGATCACTTTTACTTACTGCATCTTTTCAATTAGGTTATAAAAAAAGGAATATAATGGATTAAGAAATACAAATAGTAACTATTAATACAGTTTCAATAGGATAAATAAACAAAACTTTATTTCTAAAATCCCTTTATACTGACAGTTATATTTACTATTGTTGGCGTGCTCCAACTATGAATCTGAGAGTTCAGGTGTGCACTTCATTGCCGCAAAAACGCGCTACAAGTGTGATGGGGAAATCCCACAATTCGGTTAAATAAGAGTAGCCATAGAGTTAGAAGTACCCTTTCAGCCGTGGGGGGGGGGGCATTATAATGTGACGGTCAATCCCACTACGTTGGTAAAAGAGTAACCCAAGATTTGGCGGTGGGTGGTGATGACTAGCTGCCTTCCCTCTAGTGTTACACTGCTAAATTAGGGACGGCTAGCACAGATAGTCCTCGTGTAGCTTTGCGCGAAATTCATAACAAACAATCTACTACTTAGTATGAGTTGTGAGTTTGTCTCCCTTGTATGTATGACGGGAATTGTCTTTGAGGAAAGTAATATTAGACTGAGTGATATTACACTAGGATTTGGTTGGTTTGACTTGAGAGTGAGTATCACCATCATTCCCATTCTGATACTTGTCTTGTGCAGAATTGTATAATCCCTTCTGCCTTGTTAAAGATCTCAACAACAACCAATTTGTGTAATAGTAAGGATCTGTTTATATTTTGTACGCTTGTGTCTGCTTATATTGTTTTTGCTTTCCATATTTGATTTATTCCCTGCTCAACATTTCCAGAATCTGTTGCTTGTTGTGGATTTCTTGCTTGTTGTATATTATTGTTCACTTGAATACCACAATACCAAACCCTTGAGATAATTCTAGAACATTTTTGTTTCAGTATATTCACGCACTGCAATACGAAGGGCTAAGCTATCGTTGCATAATCTTCTTGATTTGAAACGTTTGAAAAGAAGGAAATCAGTTAGTCATCTCTAACCGAGCATGTTTGGTGTGACGGGGAACTAGCTAGTAGAAGGCTCTGTATCATCCTTTAACTTGAGTTGAGTCTGCACCACAGGGAAGAGATGATACTGAAACAGGATCAATCAGATACAGAGTAACCATTGTCGTATATAACCTTTGTCTAAGAAAGTAAAGTAAGTTTACAATCTTGCACATGTCCTGTTTCCGATATACAGAATACCGGCAGCAAAATATAGAAAAAAGAAAAGAAAAAATACCTAATGACTAAATACATAAAACGGAAAAAAACGATAAAATACTAGTATTTCCAAAAGGAAAATCTGTCTTCTTCAGGAATAAAGGTTGAATGAAGCACTGAAATGTCAAGTGTTGGCATAAGTTGCAAAACAGGAAATAAGTTTGATGTACCAAGTGTGGGCAAAATTCACATGTTAGTTATGTGTACTGGGTCAGTTTAACGTTATGGGGTGCACAAAATAATTTAAAAGACAAAAAAAAATGAAGAACAACTTACAAAATTGTTTATTTGTTTTTAGTTTACTCAGCACAAAAGCGATACAAGCATGGAATAGTACAAAATTAAATATAACGTGGTCAAATGGAAGACAAAGTAAAACATAATACATTTTTTTTATATAAAATCACACTGAAAGGAATAGAGAAATATAGAAAAATTATATCTGATAGGTGTTTCAAGTAGAGCAAGTGATCGCATTTGGTTGTGTTTGTCAGTGAAAGTATCTGTAATTTTTATGAACTTGCAGGTCTGACAACAAACTAGTACGAGGCAAGGGGAGATTCTTTGTGGGTGTCTATGTAATTTTAGTATGAATCAGAATAGCTTTGAGACTTTTTTTCTGGAAGGAAACAGTGGGAATTTTAGATAATGTTTTAAATGCTCACTAAGTTAAAATGAATGGAAAATATTTTAATATAGTTCGTTTTTTTTTGTTTGTAGTTAAGCACAAAGCTACACAATGGGTTACCTGTGCTCTGTCCACCATGGGTATCGAACCCGGTTTTTAGCGTTATAAGCCTACAGACTTACCGTTGTGTCACTAGAGGACTTAAATACGAAAGGTGGTCGTGAGTTTCGTTTGCGTATGTTTTTTATTGAATAAAACTAAAATGAAACAATTATATAAACACGAAACAAATTAATAGTATATGAATAATTGGCTCTATGTTTTTCTAATCTTGTCTGAAACTTTCAAACTGTTATTTGTGCCCCATGACACGTGACTAACATATGACTGACGAACAGCCAATCAAACTTCATGTTTTTTAAGCTGTCACAATTTATACTCATTGCACTATTCTGCCTTTCCCTGAAGAAGACAGATTTATCTGTCGAAAGTGCAAAAAGTTATCCATTTTTTTACAATGATTTACCAACTTTTTTTATCATATCTGTTTTTTTCTATAACATAATAACTAGAAATATATTATTTTCTAGCTATGGAAGTGTGAAACATAGCAGATGTTTCAACTGTAAAAAACTCCCTCTTCCTTATCTCATGGTCTTGCTAGGCACGAACCTTAAAATTAAACGTAATAAGCTAAAGTATAGTCTGAATACCAAGATCATACTTCTTGTAATCATCTTAGACTACACGTGTAACCCCAAGAGGATTACACATAACAATAATTAATTTTAGTTAAAAATTACAACAAAATCATATAAGATAAACTGAGTTCGGCTAAACAAACTGAGCTACATGTAATTGAAAATTATTAACAAGTTAAAAGTAATTTTAAAAACTAGCCTGAAGTAAAATACACTATTTACAAAACTGAATAAAACTACAAATTGGAATAAATTGAACAAAACTAAATCACCAATAAATAAAATAA